AGTCTGCTTTAAATCTGTTTTTAAAAATGTAGAAACCAGCATACAAAACCGAAATCAAAACCTTAATTTCCTAATATCGATATTGGAAAGTTGAAACCGAAATCGTAAAATTTCAAAACCGGTATCCAAAATCGAAACCGAAACCGAAATTTCGTAATACCAGTATTGAGAAATTGAACCGAAATCGAAAAATTTAGAAACCGGTATCCAAAATCGAAATCGAAACCGAAATTTCGTAATACCGGTATTAAAAAATTAAAACCGAAATCAAAAATTTTAGAAACCGATATCCAAAACCGAAATCAAAATTTTTTCAATAGGTTTCAAGCCCTGATATTTTGTGCTGATTAATTTCGGGTCCACACAGAGCGGTTTTTGTTTGTTTCTATAACATTTTGATTGTCCCGTCTATGTTGGGAAAAGTTGAGTTTAAATTTTGTTTTGATTTCTTGTCGTGTGTAGACCCTGCATTAGGAGTGTCCTGTGGAGATACAAATCTCTGGTTTTCAAACGAGAATCTCCCTTTTAACTTTAAACTATTTATTGGATTATCCTTTTGAAAAGTTTTATAYAAGTACTAAGTACATAATTCAAAATTCCAGAATCGGATATAATATTTAGTATACTTAAAGAATAGACTATTTTAATTATTGAAAAAAAATATCCATTATCCAACTTATCGTATTATCTACCGGTAATTTTTTCTATAACAATATAAATTTTGCGTATTATAAAACGTTGAAGTTATTCAGTCGTCTGCTAAAAACCGGAGGTCACACGAATAATGGTTTTTTTTTTTGTTTTTATGCTTCCCAAGATAAAAAAAATACGACGGCCAATAAAATGATTTTTTTTCGAGACTAGGTACGTTGTAATATATGCGTGCGCTTTCGCAAGTATAAGGGATACGACTGCATCATTTGTAAGAAATGTCGCGTATTTAAAATAATTACGATCGAAACTTTTTCAATTATTAATTGCGATAATATTATAATTTGTAAATAGTAATAATATTACAACTCTCTGATTTAATATATATTTATGTACTACTTTAAAATAAATTAAAAACAGCTCCCTATAAATCTCACTGCAGAAAAATCTATATTATTGAATCTCCAATTTATAGTAGGTAGCTAATGGCCA